ATTGACAGAGCAGGAGATTAAAACCTTCAAAGTAAGTTAACATTTGATTGAAAATCAAACCATTTTTTTTATGCAGGCTGTGTGAGTCATAGCCAGGGGAGCTATGGCAAGGACTACATGGACAGAAGGAAAAGTGATTTAACTACTAAATTGCACAAAATTGAGAAATGAGACTGCAGGGGCATGAACTATGAACAGAAACTGCTTCATTTAACTAAACTTGTTTTGGTGACTATAGTATCCCTTTGACTTTTTTTTACAATCTGGCTTAGTATTAGTCTGATTCTTGTAATTCACTTTTCTATTTATAACAGTTCACTGTTTAGTGAATAATCGCCTATAATTTATATGCCTAATTATATAAAATACATTTACTAATTAAACTTTGGACAATAATATTTAAATCAATATTTCCTGAACATACTTGAAAACAAACAGAAATCTGAATCTATGATTCCTGACAAAATATTGCAGTAAAGTATATGTCTTCTATAGAACACTTAATTCTTCGTATTTCAGATGAACTTCCAGAGAATGATATATTAAGACATTCAGAGGTATTGGGTGCTCTCTAAGTTCACATGTCCACTGAAGTTACTGTATGTCTTCAGCCACATTGAACAGACACAATTAAACATTTTGCTATCATGTTTCGAATAATGAAGCTTGACTTGCCAGTAACCCAGCTTTCTGAATGGATAGAAAACCTAATCCTTCCCTGGCAGGTAGGTTGAGAGGCCAACATTGACGCAGAGTCACGTCACTTGTACACAGACAATATTATAACTGGAAACTTAGCATTCTTTTGTGAACAAATAAAGAAGGGCAGGAAGAAAGGGAGTCCATAGAATTACAGTTCCCAATTAAGGCTGTACTTTGGACGCTAGAATTGTAAAGAAACAGAATTGGGCTTTGTTATGTGTGACAAATAAAAAAACTCAAATCACATAAAGACAGTTTTGAGGAAGGCGAAGAAATAACAAATGAAATACAAAATACATTCAATATTTCTCCTTACATCGCCCCAGATTTGTTTTAATTGCAGGAATGCCGTATCCAGCATGCTTTCTGGAACTCATATCACTTGCGCATATTGACATATAGAAAGCAAGCGCTGCTCTATTTTAAGTAGAAGTCTGACGCTGCGGGTAGTAAATCAGGTGATAAATCAAATATTACAATCAAGAATCCTGCAGCATACAGTATATATGATACACACTGTAATATTTTCACGCCCAGAAAACATGGTGGATATGTGAGCAGTTACAGAAACACCCCAAGCACCATAACCACTACATATCACTTTAGTGGTTATGGTGCCAGGAATTCCCAAGCACTCTCTCATTAAAAGTAGGCAAACAATTTTAGAACAGCAAAGCACCCTGCTTCCACTACCTCAGCCAGAGAGCTGGAAGCCCACTGCCAAAGCTTAGCCTGTCATTGTAGGGATCAGCTCATTGGCTGAGAGTGATCCACTTATGCTTTTAGCCAATGAGCCAGCCCTGCACTGTATTGTTTAGCCCAGCAGAGCTAACAAGTACACCTAAGCAGGACCTTCAAGTTCACCGGCTGAGGTAGTGAAAGCAGGAAGTGGCACCTAGTTGACTCCTGTTACAAAATGTAATTGATCTTAAATGGTGCTGTTGTTGTTATGGTGCTTAAAGTGTTCCTTTAACCCGTTCGCGATGCTGTATGGAAATTTTCCATCATGTGAGTCCCCCTTTAAGGATGCGCAATGGAAAATTTCCATCATGTCCTAAATCAGGGGTTAATGCTGTTGCTGGGTGCCTCGGTGTCCAAGGTAGACCAGCTTCAGCAAATGGCAATGTGCTCACTGTGATAGCCAGTCACAGCGAACACAATACTGTTTTGACATCTGATCTGCCTCCCTTCACCTTGTTGTGAGTTGTTAAGTAGAGAAAGATGGATCGATGTACTACTTTGTGTCCCTGTGTGAAGAAATTAGTTGTAAAGTACTCAAACACCCTATATCCCTACATTTATTTTTATTTCTTTAAATAACCCTTTCCCTGCCCTTAGATCACTGTTTGCTGTGTTCAGAATACAGATCACAGTGTTTTACTTTGATCTGACTTTTTTTTCCCCCTCAGGGGTTAACTATATGTGTTCCTTTTTTTTTTTTTTATCTTAATATATTTAAATTGGGATTTTAGTTAGCCGGGGTGGGGAGAAGTTAGTGGGAAATTGGGGAATTTAGTGTTATGCTAGTTAGGGGTGAAAAGTTAAAAAAAAAAAAAAGTCAATCAATTCACATTTGACAAACCTGAGTTTATTTTCACTCCTGGAATTCAGGCTTACCATAGCTCGCTGGATTTTATGCAGCTATTTTTGGGGAATGATATCTTAGACTGGGTTACCACCCAGTCTAACATTTATGCCCAGCAGTATCTAGCACAAAACAAAGTCTCCTCACCAGAAAAGGGAACTTATACCCCACAAGTGTACCAGAATTGAAGTAATTCTGAAGCAATAATTGAAAAGCCCAGCATTAGGATGTACTGGTCCAAAAACCTGGCATGTAGTACCCCCATTGCTTCCCAGACCAAGAGTAGACCCAGGTAGGAAACCATACTGCAGTTTATGCAGTTCAGTGACAATTTGAATTGTTGAGTCCCTGATGAAATATAAAGACTGGAGTTCTATTACATCCCAGCCAAAATATCGCAGTATGGGGTAAAAATTATACAAACTGTGTGAAAGTGGGGGAACTGCCCGGCCCGGGCTGCACTTTTTGTTGGAGCAAAAGGGGCCCACACGCTGAGGCATGGCCATCGGTGGCCATCAATTCATGTAGCGTATTGGAGCTGTACCAACACTTCTGTTCGGCCCACCGGCTCTAGAGCATGTGTGGTGGGGGCAGGAATATGAATCACCTCATATCCCTGCTCCCTGTATTCCTCACAGCGTGGTGGTGCATTAGTGATGAAGCCGGGCTGAAGAGGCAAGCTCATGGACCGCCACGGGTGGCAAAAGCTAAAATGAAGGTGTTCATTCTAACAACAATCCACAGTGAGCACACTCGCAGGATTGCAGTTTGTTGTAACAAAACAGGTGCCAGTATTAATTAAGCATTATAACAAGCACATGGGGCTAGCTGACCTGTCCGATCAACTGCTCTGTGAATCCATCCACTAATACCAAAGGCTTGTAGGGAAGAGTTCAGGAAACTCCAGCTGACTTTGTTGAATGCATTTTCGGGATCAACAGCTATTGTCAGTAATGAAGCTGCTCTTTCAGAAACACTGTATTATCTAATATATTGATTATTCTCTTGAAATTAAAATATGGTGATCTACCAGGAGCGAAGCTTATTGATCTGGATGTATAACTGAATTCAGATTCTGTTTTTATCTTTCTGCTCAAATAGAAAAATATAATATATTGATGTCTGTATTTAATAACAAAATGGGTCTATTGTTTTTTACATCTATATGATTTTCCCCATTTTTTAGAATTAGAAAAAGATTGGCTCATAACATCTCTTCTGGGAATCTATCCGTCTCTACTATACTATTAAAAGTATTTGTCAAAGGGATAGAGATTTTATCTTTAAATGTCCTGTTGAACCAACCATACGAGCCACTCCTCAGAACCCGTGTCTCATAAGAGGCACAACATGGGAGGTAAGCTTGCTACTGTTAAATCTCCATTTATTACATAAGTTTCTGCAAGTTAAGGCAAAAACATTAATACACTCTCCTGACACAATCATATATCACATTGTTTTTAACCACCAGTGTTATATGAAAAACTCTTCTGTACTCTTGTACAATGATCAGTGACAACATAATGAAAGGAAAAAAATAAATATATATTTTCCCTTCTTAAACCAGCATGTGTTGTATAACATTATACAAGCATTACAGTACAACCTGTTCTAGTGTACTGTTCTGAGCCAACATGTGATACTTTATCTTTCATCAAACAATATGGTGTGAAAAGCTCTATTTCGCTCCTTGACGATATATTGTACATCCTAAAATCCATTATCAATTAGTGAGGAAATATAATAAATTAATTATTTTCTCTTCTTAAAAAACCATGTGATATATTGCATTTTGGATGCATTACAGTGTAACCTATTCCAATATGCTCTTCTTGAGCCAACATGTGATACTTTATCTTTCATTAAACAATATGGTGTGAAAAGCTCTATTTCGCTTCTTGAAAATATATTGTACATCCTAAAATCCATTATAAATAAATACATTAATATTTTCTTCCCCTTTTCTCAAATCGTTTCTTCTATATCTATCTTCCAAGTCTCCTAATTTTATTTCAACTAAATTCATTTTCCCTGCTAGGGTTTGGGTGAATGTTTTATTTGGGTGAATGTTTTAATTGTATCTAACTCATCATTTTTTCTTCTACTGTTGAGACTTGGTCCATTAATGCTTGGACTTTAGCTTTTATCTCAGAAGAGCTCTCTAGAATTTATTTTTTTATAATCTTCAGGTATAAATCTAGTTGGGATATTACAAATTTCTTGATAACCACCATTGTTTTTTTGTTGTTTTTTTTTAAAGCCATTTGCACGAGAGATTCCTCAAAATCATCTTAATGGGATGTCAGAAATAGTTAAAAAGAAAATTGGATAGTTTTTTATTCTTCTTTACGTCCTTTTTATCTCTTTTAGGCTGTTCCTTTTTTTGTAGTAATTTGTAGGGGAAAAAAAACCAAATTATCTTCCTTTCCTTTCTCTTTGTATATTTGTATTATTTTCTCCTTTTTTTTTCTTTTTCTTTTTCATTCCCTTTATTGGTCTTGTTAAAACAATGGCAGAATATAAGAGCTCCAAGAACTTCAATCTCACTAGTTGTCAAAAGACAAAGAGGCAGATATAGGTTAGATTCTATAATTAATGGCAGGGGAATTGACTTATCTTTGTCTATAGCAGTTCTAATAGACATCACCTCTCTCTGACAAGCTGTCTTCGTAGAATCATCAATTCTGGACACTGGTGTTCCCCATCCTCGCAGCATGCCAAGGAGAGCTGCTCCAATCATCCTCCAAACCACCCAGGCGACATCCAACTCCACCACCTCTGCCCACCAATAGAGGGATTCACTGTTTACCACTGCAAGTAGACCACGCAGGACTGACCAGTGGTGCTAACCAGAATCCGTCGACAATATCAGGAATGGCGTCTATCGAAACAGGTTCCGCTAGGCCACCAACACTCATATATGCACCCCATTGCACAGCAAGCTACTGTACCCCACCTTTTCCGTCATGCCCGTATCACATCATTACTACCTCGATTCCTTAAAAATAATGTCTACTTTATATTAATATATACTTTTGTGTTGCAATTTAGTTTTCTTAATTGCAATTAAGCTTACTAGACAAACATTACAACTTCTAAAATTGTTCCATTTTGTGACCTGTATGTATAAAAAAAAAACCTGAAATCATAGACATATTATGTACTCTGTAAATCAGTACAAATAAATTATTATTTTTTTGGATTACTTTTTGTAAGCTGCACTCATTATGCACACATTGTTATTGCCAAAACTGAATTTTTTTAAATTTTTTTCCCCTCTGTCTTATTTGCATTTATTTTTTATCATAAATGAGAATTCATATTTATGTCACATCAAATTAAAGCTACAACATTGTAGTTGACTTGTACAAAGTGATGCTTGTGGTTGCGGAAAGATTGTAATCATAATGTTAGCATTCTCTCTAATTCCAGCAGCAACATTGAGAACAATGTCTTTACAACCAATGAGGCAATGTTTCTGCTCTCTTATGTACGTGACATGTTCAAATCATATATCATGATACAGCGCTGACTTAGCCAGACTCTTTTATAACAGTGCTCAGAATGCTTTGTTCCCTGTGAATATCCCTGATCAGTGTATTTATTCTGAGTTCCCTGATCTGAAACTTAGATTTCAGAATTTTACGATTTGCCCCGAATCGTAATTGGATGTTACTCTTTTGTTCTTTACGATGATCCGTGCTTGGATTTCAGTCTGAAAAAATGAATCCACACACTTTGATTTAATCCTGCACACTTTCATATTATAGAATAATTGGCACAAATTATAAGATATACTTCTGGATTTTAATGTACACTCTCCTCGTGTATAATAATAGTTTTTTGTTTTTTTAAAAAAACCCTTCTGTTTGTTAATCCCTATTTTTAATGACTAGATGAGACATGTAATGGCTTACTTGTCTCGTGCAGAAAGCACATGGCACAGATGATAAAGCCGTGGTAGGTCATTCTGTCTTCAGGTGCTGCCAGAAGCTGGGCTCCAGTTAGCCGTACTCTAACAGCACTTACACAACATAACTCGTCCATATGCTGCTGAATATGTACAGATTGAGATCAGCAGGATAGAAACATAGGGTTTATGTTCATCTCATTTCCACTAGTACAGGCTGTTGTCGGAGCTTAAAGTAGCTTGCTGTAAAATCTGATCTTTCTGGATACTCTGATGTGGATAAAGAGGGGAAGGCAAATATCCGGGTTTCATTGTGCCTGTTGATTCTATGAAAACTAAAACTCTGCAAATGACGCAATGCTTTCAGATTAACCACTCTCAGTAATTTGATTGCTGGTTTACATATAAAGTAGGTGTTATCTGATCATTTGCTTTGTAGGCATGTACTTTATGTATGTATGTATATTTTATTTATATTTTAGTAACAGGTATAATTTAAATGGATGTACAGTAGGACCGGATTTCCCATTAGGTATAGTAGGTACCTGCCTACAGGCACCTGTCCTATAGGGGTGCCTGCTCTGCCTGTTAAAATCCTCTTTACTGCTTAAAGGACCACTATAGGCACCCAGACCACTTCAGCTTAATGAAGTGGTCTGTGTGCCAGGTCCATCTAGGATTAACCCTTTTTTCTATAAACAAAGCAGTTTCAGAGAAACTGTTATGTTTATATTAGGGTTAATCCAGCCTCTAGCGGCTGTCTCATTGACAGCCGCTAGAGGCGCTTGCGTGCTTCTCACTGTGAAAATCACAGTGAGAAGATGCCAGCGTCCATAGGAAAGCATTGAGAATGCTTTCCTATGAAACTGGCTGAATGCGCGCGCGGCTCTTGCCGCGCATGCGCATTCAGTCGACGAGGAGGAGAGGAGGCGGAGAGGAGGAGGAGAGCTCCCTGCCCGGCGCTGGAGAAAGAGGTAAGTTTAACCCCTTGCTCCCCCTAGAGCCCGGCGGGAGGGGGACCCTGAGGGTGGGGGCACACTCAGGGCACTATAGTGCCAGGAAAATTAGTATGTTTTCCTGGCACTATAGTGGTCCTTTAATGTCCTGTGTTTCCTGTCTGTAAGACTCTGGGGTGACTGTACTCAGTCTGAGGAGCTTGATCTGTGCATGGACCTGCTTTCTCATATTAAACACAGCAATCTTTGCATTGCCCCACCCCCTCACAGTGATTTGTGCATGGCCCCGCCCCCTCAGACTGAACACAGTGATCTGTGCATGGCCCCGCCCCCTCAGACTGAACACAGTGATCTGTGCATGGCCCCGCCCTTTCAGTCCAAACACAGTGATTTGTACATGGCCCTGTCCCCTCAGACTGAACACAGTGATCTGTGCATGGCCCCGCCCCCTCAGACTGAACACAGTGATCTGTGCATGGCCCCGCCCCCTCAGACTGAACACAGTGATCTGTGCATACCCCGCCCCCTCAGACTGAACACAGAGATCTGTGCACGTTCCTGCACCCACACTGAACACAGTGACCTGTGCATGGCCCCGCCCCCTCAGACTGAACACAGTGATCTGTGCATGGCCCCGCCCCCTCAGACTGAACACCGTGATCTGTGCATGGCCCTGCCCCCTTAGACTGAACATAGAGATCTATTTATGGCCCCGCCCCCTAAGACTGAACACCGTGATCTGTTCATGTGCCCGCCCCCTCAGCCTGAACGTAGTGTACTGTTTGATCTGCGTTCGAGAATTCTGTGCCTACAGGTGCTCAGAATTTAAAGCCGGCCATGATTGAAAGTTCAAAACATACAGAAACATTAGAATAAGTTTGGTATGTCTAATCTGAATGTAACCTCTGCACTAGCTTTAATCATAATAATATTAAACTGAGGTTTGACAACAGTTGAACAGTTGAACTCTGGGGGACTCCAGACACTATAATCACTTCAATGAGATAAAGTGGATATGATGTCCAGAGTGTCCTTTTAAGACACTTTGGCACATTGTTAAAGGGTTACTCCAACCACCATGACTTTTTGAAGTGGCCATGGTGGTGGACGTCTGGAAGTGCAATGTTTCAGCCTGAAAGAGTACACATCCAGAACAATTTTAAATTGTGTGCTGGGCGCTAGTTACACCCTTAGCACACATGACTTAGGAATTTTCTTCAAGGCTGTCTAATGTCAATTCTGTGCATAAAAAAAAAAATTAATCTGTCGACAGCACGCACTGCATGCTGCCTACAGACATAAAAATATTACACTTTGCACATAGAGCATCTGCAAGGGGAAGATTGCTTATCCCTTCCACCCTCCTTAATTGTAGCCCTACCACCTACCTATTTCATCCAATATTTTGTGTTTGCCCCACCCTTGCTCCTCCTTCTTTACTTTCCTCTCCGTTTGCCGGCTCAGAGTGCTTGTAAGCTCTCTGAGCTGGTTAAATGGTCTTATAAAATGTTTCTGTATGAGAAGCCTTTGATTGGACCTTGGCACGGCTCCTGTGATGTCAAACGGGGGCGTGCTGACAAGCACCAGGAACTTCGCCAGGCGCTGGATAAATGTAAGGAATAACTTCTGTAAAAATGCTTTTGAAGTTTGGGAAGGGGGGGCTTGAAAAATAATGGTAAGAGGGCGTTATTCACATATTTTTTTTTTTTTTTTTAAAAAGGGGTTGGAGAAACCATTTAATATTAACACAAGTTGTCAAATATAACACTCTACACATATAGCCTCCTAGTCCTCTGTTGTCATCTAAGAGAAATGTTACGTGTAGCATGCAGCTCAGACTAATCTTGAACCTGGCAGTGCTAGACAGGGGACATCTAACTTTGAACCTCAAACTATCACTGGACTATATTTCCCTGAATTCCCTGTTATATGAATCTGGGAAATGTAGCCTAAAACCAACTGGAGCCCCAAGGATGTACAATCCTGTTATAACTGTATCTAAATAAGTTACTCACACTTTGAATGCGTCCATGGTCTTATTTTTGGTTACAGCTAGATTTGTATTTAGCAATGCTTAAAAAATAGGAACTCTCTCAGGACTTTTTATCCAAACAAAAACCCATTCTCTTTTATGCAGCAACTTGATAACATGATTGTTGCAAAGGCCTCCATGGGCCTTTCTCAAGATAAGTGTTAAGCTGCAAAATTTTACATGGTCTGTAACACTTTACGCTCAATGGTCTTATGCAGTAACCCATTCTGCTTTCCTTTGTCTCTATGTATGTTTACTGCAATGAACAATCAATGTACACGCCAGTCAGATAAAGTTCAATAAAGTAGTAGCCTTTTTTAATATGGGTTCATCGTATATATGAAAAACAGTTTTCTTAGGGGTGTGTACAACAAAAGGCAAAATCAACCAATCATAGCATTTTGAGTGCAAACAGTATTCCTATAACATTACGTATTGCTGTAAGTCTACTGCGCATGTCTAACACGTATCTAAATTATTCAAGGTTACTGCTTGAGAAAGAAAAGGGAGTCAACTGCAAGAGATTGCAGTCAGGGGATTAAAAATTATTGCTTTTAGCTCCTGCAGACGTGGGAAGACTTAACTAAGAAAAAAGGCTTTTTTAACTCTTTATTTACCTGTATATATGACAAGTCCCCTTTTCTGGTACTGCAGATGAAAGTTTATGCAAGGTATATCCAGGTGTACTAATTACCCCTGTAGGAGTTTCATTATCGCTTCACCTCTATTCCCTTTGCTCTTTTCCACCAACAACAGAACCACCATGGAAGGCCAGTACAGATATTTGTAGATACAGGATAAAATATATAGAAAAAAGGAAGAAAAAAAACCCAAAAAGGGATGTCTTATATAAAGACCGCCCAGAGGGTAAATACCCAGTCCAATCTCAACAGTAGTGTAGTTGCCAAAAAAATAAAAAAGCCTTTATTGAAATCTATTAAAAAACCTGGGTAATCAGTGATGGACAGAATAATATAGGGAGAAATATGTATGGTAGGAACAAGGCTAATCAAGAGCCAACCCTCACAAGAAACGGAGA